CAAAGTTTTGAATATATAGATTTATCTTGTTTTAAGGATTTATATATGTTTTTAATGGAAAGACTAATTCTAAACTCATTAAGAAGTGTTTTTGCAGTGGTTTTGTGTTCTTCATTAGATGAGTCTTGAACATTCAGGTTCCTGCTGTCGTATTCCTCGTGTTGTTTCCTCTTCAGATCTTCAGGCCGTATCGTTTCTTCCTCCTCGTTCGGATTCTGTCTGTGTCCCAGTGTGTCTCTCATGTCTCTCTCTGTGTTTCTGTGTTTCTCTGTCCTGCGCTGTGTTAGAGGACCCTAGTCCAGTCAGTCTGTCAGAGGCTCCCATTGCGGCCCCACTCAGGGCCCAGGGGCCCGTGTCTCTCTCTCTGGTGTGTTGGTATCGTGTCCAAAGCCTCTGCTTTAGTGAAACCTGCAGGAATAGAGAGGTAAAACATGGACGCTGTATAATGTACCATTTCACTTACAATGATTTGTTTGTTTAGCAGATGTTAAAGTACAAGAAAAGCTCATTGAAATAAAGCTGGAATAAAAAAACAAAAACATAACTTCAAATGTTAAATTGTTGCCTTGGCAACTAACTGAAAATAAGTTTACATATTTAAATTATTAAAACTGAAATAAGAAATTAAATTTTAGTATCACTGATATACTAGTTTTTTTGAAATATAAGCTGAATAATAAATGCTGAAATAATAATTTATTTAAAAAGAACTTAAAATACTTAAATGAAAATTAGAAATGTTGCCTTGGCAGCTAACAGAAATAAAGTTTAAGTTGAAGTACTTAAATTACTAAAACTCGAACTGAAATAAGTAGGAATTAAAAGTAAATACATATATTAAAAGATCTAATAAAAATAAAAGCGCATTAAGTAGCATAAAAAGTATATATTTTTAATAATAATAATAATGTGCCATGTTATTTTATTTCACTTTAATTTTACAGTTAAATAAAAATAATAACAATAATAGTACTACTACTACCAATAATAATACTAATAACAATAATGCACATAACAAAATTACTCCTATAAAACTAAAACTTATTTCAAACGATTAATATATACTACAATAATATATGAATAATGTTAAAATAACACTGCTTCAAATGACAACAGTGGATTTGCCATTCCTGCAGTTTATCAGCAGAAATGTCACACAGTCAATGATTTGTTCAGGTGAAAAATTGTTTGACGTTTATATTACTGCCCTTAATTGAACAACCTGCTCGTAACTGAGCTGGACTTTCTACATCTGTGCACATATAATAACTAATATGGGTGCATTTTATCAAATGCCAATTGGTTTGTCGTGTCCTCTGAACACTGACTGTACTCTGGGTTGCGATGGTGGTTCAGTTCAGTGCTTTCTCTCTTTGAATGTTGTTGAATGTCTTTGAATGATCTTCAGTTGTTCACTAACAGCACACATGTGATGCTATATATCCGTGTTTTAACTGGTTGAAGAGGACTTGAGGGACGTTCATATAGGATGCGTTCCTGCATTTAAAACAGTTAGAATGGAGTTGAACTCTTTTAACTAGACACTGCAACAAAAAATACAGCGATCATACCATGAAATGCTGAATAAACTGAAAGATGCAATTACATGGCCAAAGATGTCTGTCTGACACATGTGCACATGAACTAACAATTAAAAGGAGTGCAGACAATCCGCAAGAACACATCCTGTATGAATGGCCCTATTTCTGTTGAGATGTGCAGTTTATCAATAGTAAAATTAAATGAACATGGTGACACTTTATGCTGCCAGTCTCATACCTTTGTTGTGCCCAGGGTCCAAAATATACAGCTGTACGAAAAACAAATTGAGTATAAAATTGCCTTTGGTAAATAAAAAAAACAAATAACTGGCCTAATGACCTCTAGCCCTTTTAGAAACTTCAGACTACAATTTTTAAAATTGTAAAATTATGATTTGCATTGAATGCATGATTTAAATCACAATATAAGAGAGACTGACATCAGTGATGTGACAATCAAATATATTTGATTACTAAATACTAACTCAATATAACAATATATATATATATATATATATGTGTTATTTTAGTATCATTGATGTACTGTTATAGTTTTTGTTAATATTTTGAATTAAATTTTTATATTTTCTGTTTTCACTTTAATTTCAAAGTTGTTTATATAGTTTTTTTTTATTTATTAATTTTAGTTTATTTGATTGGAGTGAGAAATGTTTTTTTGGCAACAAGTTACAAAAACACACACACACATTTTATTTCAAGTAACACAAATGTTTTTAACTATAATAGCCCTGATATATACTTTGTAAAAAATGTAATATATTATTAAATAAATATATTAATAATATAGATGCTGTTGTTTTTTGGACCCTGGTTGTATCTGAAGCATTTTCTCTTTGTTTTCTCATTGTTTTTTGTCTTTATTCTTCAGAATCAGCTGTCTGGGAATCTGCTGAGAAAGTTCAAAAACAGCAACGGTTGGCAGAAGTTATGGGTGGTCTTCACCAACTTCAGTTTGTTCTTCTACAAAACACACCAGGTCAGAAATGTTCATAAAATATTGCTATTAACATTAAATTATTTATTAATATTAAATATTATTAATGTTTCACACAAATTTTAATCGATTCTCTGAGCAGAATGTGAGTAATGTGGCAGGAGTCTTTTTCCGTATTTAATCTTGAGAGTCTCTTTGCAGGATGAATATCCTCTGGCCAGCCTTCCTCTGCTGGGATACTCCATCACCATTCCCTCAGAGTCTGAGAACATCCATAAAGACTACGTCTTCAAGCTCCATTTCAAATCACACGTCTACTATTTCAGATCTGAGAGCGAGTACACGTTTGAGAGGTACGGCAACCAAAATAAACCAAAATACTGAACGTTCAGAACGGAAAACTACCGTACTTAGTGATACTACGCAGTATACAGAAGGTCCAACAAATAACCATTTTCAGAATAATAGTTAAATAGTTAAGTTAAATGAGTAAATAGTCAAAATTAATATATTAAATAACTGCATATAAATATTTAGTTGTTTGAGCAACATAATATATTATACTTTTAGCTATTTTTGCAGTATGTTTCCATAGTAAAAATACTCTATTACAGAAACATGCTACAAGTAACATGCTAAAAGTACTACTAAAAATAACTAAAACAAAGAATAACATATTTTGTTACAGAAACATAATACAAAATATTATTTAATGCACAGGTAGTTCCAAGTCAGTTTAATCACTATTCTATATTAATGCGCTGCTTTAATTGATGCACGTGCGCACACACATCACTCGCACACAGAGATCGGAGATTGCGCTGCGTACACACATAAACATTCAGGAGCACAGTAACTTATTGTCAACACTGCCCTGTGACTTTGATTAATAAAATAGCTTTAATACTGAATCACTACATTATATTTCTCAGCAACGAGGAGGTAACTAAACTCACAGCTTCATTGTTTGTAGAGAGAGATGCACAGATGCAGGTAATTCATATGCAACTTTCATCACCTGTCTCTCTCTCTCTCTCTCTCTCTTTCTCTCCCTCTCGATCGATAAGTCATTAATTCAAGTGCTAGAATTCATTCAGAGATGTGATACATGTGCATATATATATATATATATATATATATATATATATACATACATACACACACACACACACACACACACACA